GTAGAGAAGGCACCAGAAGTGTTGTGGGGTTGCTGAGGTTTGGAAGGCGAGGGGCAGCTTCCCGGGCTTCTGATTGGCAGGAGCCTGAGAATTTGCATTTCTATTGCATTTCCACTGACTTGTCTGGGGGCCTTAAAGCCTGGGCCTGAACCCAGAGTCTTAACACAAATGAGAGGAATAGGCTGTTCAGGGCCTTGGGTTGGTTTCTTCAGGAGAGGCTCAGCCGGGTTGTACATGGGAAGGGCATGGGCAGAAGGCCTCTCCTACCATCCGAGACTACCATGGGGTCCCCAGGCCCCCAATATAAATGAGTGTGCGGCAGCGGTCCCCTCCCACCCACCCTCTGCAGACGCAACCTGTTCTGGCACGTCCTTGACCTTTATTTTAAAGCCTCTTGAGTAAGGAGACAGAGGCTGGAGGCCCCTGGGTAGCAGAACTGTCTGCGCCCTGGGAGTCACAACTCTGGATGTTCATGCTCTACTCCAGTAGCGCCCGGTGCGGGCTGGACACGGGTCTGTCCACACAGCCTCTGGGATTTGGATGCATATTGGCGCTGAGGACCGCTGGACCCCAGGTCCCGTCCAGCACAGAACAGAGCAGAGTCTGCCTCTGGCACCTGCAGACTCTTCAGCCTGGCCCTGACTGGGGCTCGTTTCGGTTGTTCCACAGATGAAAAGTCGGAGTCTTTACTGGGAACAAGGGAACACATATCCCCCCGCCCCCCCCGCCCAGTCCAAGCTTCCATCTTCTCACTGCCGGGGTGGAGTGGGGGAGTGAGGCAGGAGGAGAGACACTCTGGGTTCCCCTAGAGTTAACGGGGAACCCAGGGTGCAGAGGGTGCGGCAGGCTCAGGGTTTTAGTGTGACAGCAAGGGTGAGGGAGGGGGGGCTGCAGAGAGCACCCCACTCAGGTCGTCCCTGGGGAGAAGCTGGAACCTGGAGCTTTGGAGTCACTGGGACTTAGGAGGAGGGGGCGGAGGAGAGGCAGAAGCGCCCCTGGGGTTTGAGGCTGGAGCAGCCTGGTGCCTGGGGTCTGCATGAGGTGGGGGGAGTTCATATTTACAGAGTATCTCCTGGGTGTCAAGCACTCAGGGCTGGGGGATCCCACGTCTAGGGACATTTTATGCCGCCCAGTATCTTAGAACAGTGGAAGAAGATACAGGCCCAGAAGCAAGACTACCCAGGATCAAACCCTGGCTCTACTGCTTCCTGGGCAAGCTCCTCAGTTGTTGGGGTTTAAAACACTGGTTATGGGCCTCCCCAGTGGCCTAGGGGTTAATTCTCAGCGCTATCACCACTACAGCCTGAGTTCGATCCCGGCCAGGGGGTGACCCACACGGCGCAGCAGACCTCTCCTGTCTCACCCGCTGCCCCCCTCAGCAGTGTGTTTCATTCGCTCCGCCTAGTTCTGCTCCCCACTCTGCCTCTGGTGAGTCCTCTCAACCAAGTACCTCTGTATGGCCTACATAACAGTTCTTGTATGCATAAATAAGGAAAATAAATCTTAAAAAAAAATTAAAATGTTGGTTATGGAGATGGAGAGGTGGGTGATAACAGACAGTGGATTTTAAGGCTCCCCAGGTGGGTTACAAAGCAGTCAAGATGGCAGAGGCGGGTGCCACTCTGAAGCTCCCTTAACAGTCAGTGGGCAGCGCTGCCCTGCACTGAGCCATTCACCCACACAGCTGTCACCTGCCAAGTACCGAGAGGCAGAGGTGACACGCAGTGCCCCACACTCTCACTTCCCAGATGACCAGGGGCGAGTCAGTAGCGTCTCTTGCCTCCCAGAGGGGGCGGAGGGTCGGTGGATGCACAGAAGCTCGCCATGAGCCCACAGCCACCTGTCTCTGGCCCGGGCCGGATTCACATTTCCCCGCTCCCAGAAGCCTTGAGCCTGCTACAAGACGCACAGGTCCATCTCCCTCTGCCCCAATTATTAAGTGGGGGGACAATCTAAGTTCAGGGTAGCGAAGTAGCGTCTCCGGAATGAGGCGGACTGGAGTTCGAAGCCAGGGAGTCTTGCTCAGGAGCGTGAGCCTTTAGCCACCACTCTACGATGGTCGCTGGACTTGAGGGGCAGCTGGTGCGTGGGTCTGGGGTGTGCACGGGAAGCAGGAGCTGCCCTCACACAGTGCCCTCAAGGGCCCTGCCCCACTCGCTGCCCTGGCATCAAATCATACCTTTGCCCTGCCAGTGGGCGTGGGCAGCAAAGCCAATGTGGCCGCCATACTTGCGGTTGAACTCTGCCATGAGGGCCTTGTAGGGGTTACGGATGAGCAGGATGGCAGCGTCGAAGGCCTCAATCTCCTTCTGGCCGCTCTCATGTGTCTTGATGCAGATGGTCCTCCCGCTGCGCCAGTGGTCCCGCTCACCTTTGAACCCTTCCACGGGAGGGGGCAGGGAACAGAGCTGGTGAGCTGGGGGAGGCAGGAACCCCACCACCCCTTTCTGGGCCACCTCAGGAATCCTCGTGCATTCATTTGTTCACTCATTCATTTACACTTGTATTTGTTGAGCACCTACTATGTGCCAGACACTGTCCTGGGAGCTGGGGATAAATTGGTTTGCAGGGCCCTCCCTGGTGGCATAGAGGGTTAAAGTGCAGCGCTAAGCCAAAGTCACTTCAGCATGAGTTCGACCCCCGCTCCGGAGGTGACCCACATGGCGCGGCAAGACCTCTCCTGACCCAACCACTGCTCTCCTCAGCAGTGTATTTCGTCGAGCTGCCTGTTCTGCTCCCCACTCTGTCTCAGGTGAAGCCTCTCACCACCCTTGTACCTCTGACCTCTGAGTGCATAAATAAATAAATCTTTTAAAAAATGGTTTGCAAAAGTGCCTGTGATGCACAGGAGTGTAGAGTCAGAAGAGGAGTATTTGCACTTGGGTCTGGAGAAGTCTGCCAGGGGCAGACTGGAGGACTGCTCTGGCTGGTGTTGACTTCCCTTCCCCACTGATGTTGGATATGCCCATGGACTTGCTTTGGCCACCGATGGAGTGAGGCAGAAGTGGGTGTCTACCACTTAATTCTGTTGTGTCTATGTGCGTCCACCACCACTGTGGGAAGGATGTGCCCAGGAGACTGTAGGTCTCAGATGACGAACCCCCGTAACAGACAAAGATCCAGCCAGCAATCTGGCGCTGAGTGGCCAGTCGGTCTAGCCACGATCTATTAAGAGGCCCCCAGATAGGTTTTCTGGGGGGAAGCGAGGGGAGTTTAAACTGAGCATTGAAAGATAAAGAGAAGTTTTCCAGCCCAGGAGAGAAGGAAAAGGTGGCGAGAACAGCAAGTGCAAAGGTCCTGTGGTGGGTGAGAGACACTTGTCACATAAGTGACTACCAAGGGAGAGCAGAAAGCCAGAGAAGTACACGAGGAGGGAGCAAGTGTGGAGATTGTGACAGAGAGATCGTCACTCGACGATCTGGGGAGTCCATAAAAGGAATCAAGCAAAAGGAAGGCGGACTCTGACTTGATCAGGTTTTCATTTCACAAACTGAGCAACTGAGAGAAGTTCTGAGTACCTGGAGGGTGGGGGGTGTTTTTACAGCACGGATGCTGTGCTGGATACTGATTTGAGACCCACAAATACAGCAGCCAACCCAAAATCCTGTGAGGAATTTTGTAGAGGAGGAAATTGAGGCACAGAGAGATCAACTACCTTGCCCAAGTCACAGAGCTAGCAAGTGACAGAGCCAAGATTCAAACTCAGATCTTCACCATCTAAGCTTCCCAATCCCATGAAAGCTAAGATTCTTGGATGGTATCTTGAAAGCCAAGCAGAAATAAATGTTAGTGTCCTGGGGCTGGGTTTTGCAGGTGGGAGCTGTGATTCCACACCTTGTCAGGCCTTCCATTGGCAGAGCTGATCATGACATGGACGGAGGACTTCTCATCTATGACATTTTATCTCCGTCCAATCCACTTCAGCATGAACACAGCCATGGAAAGACATTTCCACTGGAAAGGCAGGGCACATAAGAACCCACAGATTCTCAGAAAAAAAAAAAAAAAGAACAGAAAGTGATCCAACTAGTTTCAATCAGCCCCATGCATTCTGAGACTGAAACCACATTCTCTTTGTTCCATGATGCAGTCAATTTAGCACAGTATTTATCAAGATTTTTAAAAAGGAAAGAAAGAAACTAGCACCACTGGGAAAGATCTACTCCAGATTCCAGATTTTGGTTGCCTGGGAGTTAGTCTGTAGGGGACTGGAGATGGAGGTGGGGCGGGGTCGGGGGAAGGAAATTCCTTTTAACAGAAGATCTCTTAATGGAGAGAAGAGTTTTATGTCTAGAAAGGAGCCCTTGGGAAGTCACATGGTCTGAACTTGCCCAACTGTCTCAGAATGAGGACCCCTCTAGGAATCGAGGATGCAAGTTTGAGGCCAGAGCAGAATTGCTGAACTCTACCACCAGGGGCTCCCCTTCTCCACCCTTCCCTGGCATAAGGCCCGGCACCTCCTTTATGCAAATGAAATTTTGAATCCATATTTCTTTGACAGGTCACCACAATAATAGAATTTCCACATGCCCCTTGAACTCCGAGGAGCTAGACGATATCTCAGAATTCACAGAACTGTTCTTGTGGGTTCAGGAACACAGAGACTAAGGCATTTTTTTTTTATTACCCCTCACACCCACCCCATCTTACAGCTGCCTATACATTTTGCAGTTAAGAAAACAGGCACAAAGAAGGAGGTGGCAGAAACTTGCCAACACCGAATGCCCTCAAGTTTACTGGGGCAGCAAAGGTCCACTCCTAACTCCAGACATGGATATCCTGGAGACTGGTGCCCCCTTCAGAACAACGGGGTTTGTGTTGAGGCAAATTCCTCAAAATAGAAGTTCCTGCTGAGTCATCCTGGACTAAAGGCTGCCTCTTCAACCCGCTGCCCACTCCGGGCCTCCTCAAAGTCCCTCCTCTCCTGACAAGCCAGAGAACTGGAGCATGCACTTGAGGATGTGGGGTCCCTGAGGTGGGTGAGTGAGAGAGAGGGGAAACAGTCTGGGGAGAGTGAAGAGAAGGATAAAAGCAGACATGTTCCCAGAGAGAGAGAGGGAGGGAGAAGAGGAGAGAGAGAGAAACACAAAAACAAAATAGGAAAACAGAGACAGAAAGAATAGAAAGAACCTATACTTACAGAGGCAAGAAGATGAACAGAGACATAGACACTCAGGCAGACAGAAAGACAGATGGGTAGATGAATAGATGTAGAGAGAAGCAAGCGTTACAAATAGTCAACCTCAGTCTGCAACAGGAAGAGAAGGTAGAATTCAAGTGAGATTCTTTAAGGGGAAGGTCGTCCGTCCGTCCGTCTGTCCATCCACCCACCCACCCACCCATTTGCCCTCTATCCATGCCTCTCTCTCTCACTCAAACTTCTTCACCGCTCTTCTGTATTTTGTGTTTTCTTGTGTGTGTGTGAGTGTGTGAGGGAGTTAGTGGGGAGGACTATTCCCAGGATGGTGGGAGAGAAAGTGGAGGATGAGGAGTGATGCTTCAGCATTAGGAATGACCCAGAGACACAGAGGAGGAAGGGAGGGAAGGGAGGTCTCAAGCACCCCCAGCTGTCCAGTCAGCTAGTAGCAGGAGTGGGGAGGACATGCTAAAGGACGTAAATCAGCAAGAGTCGCTGGAAGATCAGCTCAGGACAGAAGTCCCCGCGCCCGCCACCTAAGTCGCTTCATTTCTAATCAGTGACCTCCTAAATGTCCCTTCCCACTGTCCCTTTCTCCTCCCCACTGTTGCTCAGCTGGATGATCCTGCAGCTCACCCCACCCCCTGCACCCCCCACTCATCTCCACATACCATTTCCTCTGCCTAGAACCCCATTTAACCCCACTTCTGACCAGGACCTCTGCCCACTACCCCCAGGATAGCATGACCAGTTAGTTCTCAAAGGACATTGGGGGGCTCCCCCTCACCGCATCTCTGCCTCTCCCCTCACCGCGTCTCTGCCTCCATCAGGGCCTCTGGTGGGTACTCCCTCCTTTCTCTTTGGGTAAGTTGAACACTCCTGTGCACACACCCCAATACTCACTGACAAAAAATAAAAAGTGCCTCTCACCTATCACAGGCTGCGTCAGCATTCAATGAATGCCCCAAAGCATCAGTATTATTAACCGTGACAAGAATATATTAACAAGGACCACACTGAAGGATCCCTGGGTACCGGGAGGATGACAGAGAACACCTAAGTCTGCCAGAGACATTGCAAAGTGGGGGGGGGGGGTTGGGGGCTCTGTCCCCAGACTGGAGGAGCAGTTTTCCAGGGAGCTGGGCTAAGGCTGGGAGGGGACTGAATTCCCAGGGAGGAGAAAGCATGTGCAAATTAGCGTGTATTATACCTGCAGTCTGTTGCCTAAAAGAAACAGCAGAACCCCAGCCCAGTGGGGGCAAATTAGGGCACAAGCCGCTCCCCCTTCCTCTGGCTCCAACTCCCCTCCCTTCCTCCACCCTCCAGGACCCTCCAGGATGTCATGAAGTTAAGCATCTCTCTACCGCACACGTGATGGGAGCAGGATTGGGGGCTTAGCTGGGGGCGGAGGGTCCTCTCTTTGCCTGCACCCCACTGCCAGCCCTGAATTCCCAGGGAGAGCTCATTGTTCTCTGCGAGGGTTCAGGCCATGGGAAGTATTTTTAAGCCCCTAATGAAAAGGCAGCTGCAAGCACAGCCTCAGCTGCCTGTGACCGGCCCAGGAACCCCGCCTTTCTCAGTGGGAATTAAGGAAACATTTACACAGCTTGAGCCAGGGGAATCACAGAGGGTTTGTCTGTCTTCCTTTTCTTTCTTTCTTTTGCCTTCTTTCTTTCTGTCCTCCTTGCAGTCTTCTTTCTTTCTCTCGTGTTAAAATGTTAATTATCTATCTAAATCATTATCGACCCAATTAATTATTAACTCTTGATACCCCCCAATACCAGAGTATAAAAAAGCAAAAGGCAGAGACAGCTCTGGGGTTCCTAGTCTGGGCTAGGGTCTCCTTCTGACTTTGCACTTGGGGAGCTTTAAAAAATACTGATGACTTGGCTCACACCCAAGATTCTAATCAAAGCAATCTGGGCTACGAGACTTTAAAAGCTCCCCAGGTGTGTGGTCAGAGATGGACCTCTCTGACTTTGGCTAAATAGCTGGCCGTTCTGGTTAGGGTTCTTTCTAAAAAATAATGTGTATTTTATATTTATACAATATACAACTAATAAGGGGTTAATATCCAAGATATCTAGAGACTAAAACAATTCAACAATGTTGAAAAACAAATCTCTCAATTCATAAATGAGCAGCAGATATGAACAAATAACTCACCAAAGAGGAGATGCAGAAGGTCAAGAGACATATGAAAAATGTTCATCGTGGCTTCTGATAAGACACACATGAGGTTCAAATCATAGTGAGATCTCATCTCGCCCCCGTGAGAACAGCACATCACTTAGGAAGCCCCCCCAGGAAGCACAGGAGAGGATACAGAGAAAAGAAGCCAGTAACGCTGCCGGTGGGGATGTGAACCAGTGCAGCTAGATTGGAAAACAATCTGAATTTATCTTAGAAGGCTGGGAAAGATGAAAGTGCTCTCGAACTCAGCAGTCCCACTCTTGGGCTTCTATCCAAAAATATGAAACAAAATATACGCTCTGCCATGTTTACTGCAACACCGAGTCCAGTCACAGAACATGGGAGCCACTTGGACGTCAATAGAGGACTGAACTGAGATGTGGTCCATCCCTCCAGGGGACACCATTCGGCCACAGGACCCATGAAGTGGAGCTATTTTCAGCAAGATGGAGGGATTCTGAGAGTATTATACGTAAAGCAGAGCAAATCAAGATGATGAAAAAAAATACACTGGACATTTACAAAACAGCCAATTGGATAAAGTAAAAGACAGAAACTAGTGGACATTAATCAACACCATGAGGGCTCTGAGGTTGCTGGGGGGAGAAAGAGACAAGGTGTGGCGTGGGGAAATTTAAATAAAAATAAATTGCAGATCACATATTATCTTATTTTTTTTAAAATAGCTGTGATTTTGCTATTGGCAATCCTACTATAGTTGAGGAAAAAGAAACTCAGAGAGGTGAGGAATCTGGTCCAAGCTCCCACAGCCCATAAGTGCGGGTTTGGAATGCAAATTCACTCTATAGGTATCATCTGAGATTCAGTTTCCCTTTCTCTGAGGTTGAGGCTGAATTAGAGCAGAGATGGTAGAGACCTGGCTCGAAAACCCCCATTCCTCGTTCTCCACCTGCAACGGCATCACACCAGGACAAGGAGCACTGTCACCGAGGACAGACAGGCCCTCGGAGTCCTCAACACACCAGCCCACCGCAGGCGTTCATAGGAACTGGCGCAGGAAATGAAACTACTTTGGGTCCCTGCACGAAATGATTCCCAAAGACCCTCCAACTTGTAATATTGTTTGATTCTGGGTGCAGGAGCGCTGCTCCGGCCAGGGAGGGAGGCAGCTGGGGGATCTTCCCAGGGTTGCTTCTCTAAGACACTGCCCAGTGTCTAAGAGCATGGAGACTGCCCTAAGCATGCAAACCCCCCAGCTGGGAGTAGTGTACACCAGCGGTGGTGTTCTTTTACCCTCTGCTCCAAGGCAGGGCAGATGCTCCTCAGAGCCCTTTTATGTTACCACATACTTCCTGGATTGTGGAATAGACCAATCAGGTGTGAGCTATGAGCTGATTGGTGCTAAATGGTCCAATCAGCTGCAGGATTGAAAAAATGGTCTTTCAGACTTGTGGGTGGGGCACCCTGCAAGAGGATATAAGCCAGGGTTGGAGGGAGCTGAGGGAGAGACTATCCCAGTCTCTGAAGAGAGAGGACGGTTCCAGCCTTTGGAGGAAGAAGAAAGAAGGAAAAGACTCTGTTTTTGGTGTCCAAAGAAAGAAGAAAAGACACATCCAGCAGCTGACCCCTGAGGAGGGAAGAGAAGCTGGAGGTCTTCGCAGAGGCTGGGCCTCCGGTCTTCTTGTTGCCCGGAAGGAGCCCAAAGGCCCAGGCCCCAGGACTGGGCTAAAGAGATGTTTGTTGGTGTCGCCCAACAACTCACAAAGAGTTGTTGACACTGGGTGTCTCTGATGCCATCTCTGAGGGACCATCGTGACCATCACTACTGGCCAGTACTGTCCAGCACTCCTAGTGACCTGTGGCGACCACCACTGATGCTACCTGGGTGAGAAAACCGGTCACTTGTAGATAGAGGAAGCTCTCTCTTAACCCCGTTTGTAAAATCAAACTTAAGGCTGTTGCTCCTGGAGCCCGAGATCTCTTGCCATTGTGCGCATGGCTGACCTATCCTCCAATCGGGCACTGTCCTTTATTAGGCGATAGCCCATAAGCCCCTGCTGTGTGGGTGGTGTATTGGTATAGCCCTTGGTTTGGTGTTTGGCTTTTGGGCCGTTTTGGTGGCTCTCTGGTCTCAGAGCCCAGGCAGGTGGGTAGGGCTGTTCCATCCTTCCACAGGCCTCCTGCTCTGCCCCTATTTCAGTATTCCGCAAATGTTTGCTTAAATCCAAACTAAAAACTAATAAATATGCAAGAAGCCGGGGTTCTAAGGCAGACTGCTCCACCGCCTTGCTTTCTCTCTTACTCTCTGCCTCCCTCGCGCTTTTCCTCCTCAGACACATTTTTCTGGCTGCTCCCAAGCCCAGTCCCAGCAGTGAGTCTCTGTCAACACCAAGCAGTGCTTGGCCTGGGCCTGGTACTGAGACCAGGGTACTCACAGCCCACATTTAGCGAGGACTTGCTGGGTGTTAAGCACGTTGCGCGTATCAACTAGCTACTCTTTACCACCCCTAGATATAAGCTGTTATCTCTCATTTGTGCATGATGACAGAGAAGTACAGAGATTTGCTCAAAGTCACAGAGCTGATTGCAGACATGAAGACCCATGACCCAGGGCTGCTCTGCAGACACATGTAAAGCTGAACCCCTGCTTCCCCGCTATATCCCGCCACACTGAGAAGAGGGTGTCATGCCCAATGGGCACTTCCTCCCTGGCTTCTGTTTCCCCAGGGATCTCTTGCTTATGTGATCAAGGTGTAATAAGAGTGCGAGCTCTGAAGCCAGGAAGCCCAGGGAACAATTCCTGACCCATCCATTGAAAAGAATTTGTGTGACTTTGGGCAAGTTATTTCTCCTCTATGGGTGCCTCAGTTGTCATATCTGGGAATTGGTATCCTGCTCCTCTGTCCCAGGGTCACTGTGCAGGGTGCCAGTGTGACTCCTGGCACCTAATAGTGGCCACGACAACGTCTGTGAGAATCCAAACCTACGGATAGAGCCTGACACACAGCTGGAGCTCCATCAGCGCCTGCTGGCACATCTAGAACATAACAGAGCTCTGTGAAGGTCGATGAAAAGAGTATCATTGACTAAACGTGGATGGAACACATAATAAATAAATGGCACCCAGTATCAATAAATATCCCCAAAGTGAACATGTTATTGCACATGTTATTGCACATCTGCAGAGCCCCCAAAATTGTTATCAACAATTGTCTGTGGCGAGGTCCCAGTGCATAGTTGGCGCTCAACATGTGCTTGTAGTGACCTAAGTGGGGGGAAGTTTCCAGGCACATAGTCTGGGCTTGACATATGTCCATGATTGAATGGATGCATGTGTGAACCCAGCACGTGGTGTCCAGGAGATGTCTGGCGGGACAGCACACGGTAGGTCCAGGGAAGGGGTAATTCCCACAACCTCCCGGAGGGTCGTCCCGAGCCCTCAGCCTCCCGCCTGCCCTCCCACTGCCCTCTGCCTTCTTACCTTTGTTGTAGAGAGAACCATCGAAGTAGTAGCTGCCAGTGTAGAAGCCGGTGGCCAGCTCAATGAGGTGGCGAGCCCAGGTGTTGCCGGCGCCCGGGAAGCTGGCCAGAGCGATGAGCTGCTTGGACTTGGCCGGCAGGAACCGTCTGTCCATGCAGCGGTTGTCTGCAGAGGGCAGAGCATGCAGAGTGCTCAGTGGCGGGGGTCATCGGAGCCTGTCTGGAGGGCCAGGGTGAGTCCCACCCCTGCGTGTTCCATTCATGTGACCCAGTGCACCAGCTGGGGCCCTTGCAGGACCTCAGTTTCCCCATCTGCAAAATGGAAGTTGTCGTTCCTCCCTCTCAGGAGTAATGTGAGGGTTAAATGAGCTAATGTGTGAAAAGGGATGAGCACTGAGAAGGGGCTGGACGAAAGTCAGCTGGGACGATCAGTCTTCTTCTCTGCCTCAGTTTTCTCCAGCACAGCGAGTCACTCTCACAGACCACTCCCACACTTTCCACCAGAATAAAACCCTGGTCCCATCCACATGAGATCCACCCAGGTAGCCTCCCAGTGCTGACCGGCCTGGTCTAGGCACACCCCACCCATCCGCTCTCACCTCCCATGCCCAACAGCGACCAGACCCCTGGTATCTCTTGACTTTTCATCTCTGCTCCTTCTTAGTTTTAAGATAGATAGATAGATAGATAGATAGATAGATAGATAGATAGATAGATAGATAGATAGATAGATAGATATACATCTATCTATCTATCTATCTCTCTATATATATATGTATACACACACATATATATATCACCCCAGCTCTTTGATATATGTAAGAGCTGGGGTGCAGGCTAGAGGTACAAGGGTTAGAAGATTCACCAGAGTGGGGAGCAGAACAGGCAGATCCACCGAAGTTCACTGCTGAGGGGAGCAGCGAGTGAGACAGGAGAGGTCTGCCACGCCATGTGGTCACCTCCCTGGCCGGGGAGCGAACCCGAGCAGTGTGGCTGTCAACAGCCTCATAGTGCTGCCACCCAACCCCCTGTGCCACGAGGGAGGCCCCTCTGCCCCTTCTGGACCCAGCACATCTGCGTGTGGTTCCTGCAAGACCTCCTACCTGCTTTTGCCAGGTAGACACGTCTTATCCTCCAGCTCTCAGCTGAATTGGCACCTCCTTTCTACCTCCCCAGACTCCCTGGGCTATCATGAGTCTGTCATGTTTATCTCTTCCTATTACTTATCACAACTGCAATGCAAATAAGTGTGAGTCAAAACCCTGACTATTGTTCTTTGCTGATTTCCTAGTACTAGTGTAACATACTATGACATCTGACATATAATAGGGATAGTAAATATTTCATGGGTGGGTGGGTGGATAGATGGGTGGGGGGGTGGATAGATGGGTGGATGGATGGGTGGATGGATGGATGGATGGGTGGATGGATGGGTGGATGGATGGATGGATGGATGGATGGATGGATGGAAGGGTGGGTGGGTGGATGGATGGATGG